CACCGCAGAAGCAGACAGATACGTCGGTACTTCTTTAGAGACAAGTTGATTCTAAAATTCCAGAAAGGGGACTATGCAGGGTGTGTCCCTGGCCTGTGTGAGGACGGAACTGGGTGTTAGTGACTCGCCTGTCCGCACAGAGGGCCATCCTCTGAGATTGTAGCCATCAGGATGCTTGAGGGAGAGAGCACAGTGTGACAGGGGACAGAGCAGGTTCCCGGGCACCTCGATTGCTCTACCCTGTAGTCATTGGGGGAGGGACACGAAAAGGGTTTTGTTTGCGTAAATTTTCCACTTACTGAACGCTTTTCCCTTAAACTTTAAAAAAGGCTTTAATTTTTAACTGTGTTTGACAGAAAATATTTCATACCTCCTTTGACCCGTTAACCAGAACATTGAGCTTTCTTACTGATTCAGAGTCATAATTATAAAAATAAATGATCACACAGTGAACATCCCTCAGCCCCATCGAGGAGTAAAGGGTTGTTTGCCCCTTCACCCAATGGCGCCGTTCTGCTGTACTTTTTTGAGTTCTTGTATCTGTCGAGTAGTCACAATCCACTAAATTAACTTAATTACTCCAGGTGGGGAAACCAGATGACCAAGTTTATTCGACGTATGTCTAAATCCATGAAGAGTAAATAGGTTCTAAGAGAACATGTGAGGAGCCCTCTTCAGGGGTTTTGGGCACAGACGTTGTGACATATATTCTGACTGTTCAGGTGCCTTTTTGTCACTCTCTGGATTGTATAGGTTGTCAGGAAGTTGCCTTCCCATGACTAGGGTGCATTGGGTATATACATTGTCCAGCTGTATATTAGTGACTGCAATCAAATGAGTCCCCCATCACAGCCGGTGGGGATATTTGGGGGTACCTTCCAACAGATTTTCTAAATGTGATTGTTTCTAAAGAAGAGGAATGTAGGGATCTAGTTATGAGGAATTTGCTTCCTTTACAGTTTATTTGCTGCAAATACTGCGAGTTTTATCCCCAGCTAGCCCAGTGACTTGGTTTCCTTATCTATAATGTGGAGGGGGCAGGGGTATCTGGCCTGCTGTCTCTGAGCCCCATTCTGGATTCTCGAAGAATCCAGTCAATTCCTATTCTCTCCAACAACACACCCCTAGAATTTACAGTCTTGGCAAATCTTGATCTTCTCCCAGGCAACTTTTATAATAGAAGTTATTCATTCTATTCAGCTTCAGCTTATTATAATTTGCATTAAAATGTTTTGGTTTTTAAAGGACTGTTGAGATTGCCATAACTTTACCAACTGATTTGCAAATACGAAGGGCTGCCAGTTAACTCAGATGGCCAGAGCAGCAACTGCTTCCAGTCAGAAAGGCTGAGTCACCGAAGAGCTCCCACCTTTCAAGGGCCAGATGACTCAGCAAGCCAAGTTACTTTGCAAATTGGGATAAGGAGCGTAGGCTATTAGACTTCCTTTCACTCTTCTTCCCCTTCTGGCGATTTAGACGTGGATTCTCTAATGACGACTTATTTTTTTCCTTTGTTTTCTTTCCAAAATAACATGTGCTTATCAGAAGTTCAAACTGTACACGCTTACATAACACAGAAAGTGGAAAGTTCTCTGCTTCCCTCCCTAGAGAGAGCCACTCTTAACAGTTTGGTGAACATTCTTCCAGAAATTGTTTTCTATTCTATATGTTAACATTTTTTTTAAAACAAAAAGAGAGTGTGTTTACATATACTGTTTTGCAACTTGATTTTGTCTCCTAGCAATATGTCTTGGAGATTTTTCCATTTTGTATATATAGGTCTGTCTCATTTTTATATATAGGTCCATCTCATTTTTAACCGAAACATTGGTTTCCATGGTGTTGTTACATCAGAAATTATTTAATTAGTCCCCTCCAGTTTTAGTCTGGGTGCCTCCCAAAGCTGATCCTAAAACAGTGACTTAGGTGCAAATAGGCTTCTGGGGAGGTGATCCCAGGAAACAATGACAAGAGAGTGGGGAAGTAAGACAGGAAAGGCCAATCCAGGATGTTTGATGAGTGGGCACCTGCAGCTCAGGAGGTCCCCGAGACCACCATCAGGTTCAGTGATTCTCTGAAGGACTCACAGAACTCAGAAAAGCTGTTGTACTCCTGGTTACAGTTTATTACAGTGAAAGGATACAGACTAAAATCAGCAGAGGGAAAAGGCGCCTAGAGCAGAGTCCGGGAGAGCCCAGGCGTGAGCTTCCAGTTGTGCTCTCCCACTGGAGTCACATGGATGGCACTTAATTCTCCCAGTAATGATGTGTGTGTGGCAGCATGCTCGGAGTATTGCCCACCAGGGATGCTCACTCGAGCCTTAGCGTCCCGGATATTGATCGGGAGTCAGTCACATAGGCATGGCTGACTGTCCGAGCAGCTGTCCCTAGTCTCCAGCCCCTTCAGAGGTCAAGCTGCTATTGAGTGGCCCAAGGCCCCTGCCATAAATCGCACTGTTAGCATAGACTGGCATGGCCCAGGCAGAGAGCTGTGGGTGTTCGTGGTAGGACAGTAGCCACAGAAGCTGCGGTAGCCTCCAGGGTGGGCTGAGGGGGTGGGCAGGGCAGCAACAGCCTCGGCCATACTTCCTCATGGACATATTTGTTATTTCCATTTTTCATTCTCACAAGCAATGTTCTGGAGCAGGGATCAGTAAACTCCATAAAGGGCCAGATAGTAAATGCTTTCAGCTTTGTGGGCCACACGGTCTCGGTTGCAACTACTCAGCTCTGCTGCTATAGCGCAAAAGCAGCCGTAGCCATTATGCAGATGAATGAGCCTGACTGGGTTCCAATAAAACTTTATTTACCAAAAACAGGTGGCAGGCCAGATTTGGCTTAGAAACTCTAGTTTGTCAACCCCTGCTATAGAGAATATCCTTGTATGTATATCTTTGTTTGTGCAGATAATTCTATGGGATAAATCCCTGGAAGTAGAATTGCTGAATCACGAGTTATGACATTCTTCTTTTGAGCAGATACCATGAACCTCCTCCAAAAGTTGAACCTACTTTCTCTTTCACTAACAGTGCATAAGAGTGTTAGAGATTCCTTTTCTTAAAACCCTTTTCCCAAGGAAGCAAAACCTATACTCATTTACTAGGATGTGTCCGCGTTTTCATTCTTGAGCTTTGGAGAGGCAGAGGAAGATAGAACATTTTGCCCCCAAGGAAGAAAACCAAATGAGGCCTGAAATGGTCTCATAAACAGTATCGTGCTTTCGATTCGAGGCCCACAGAGAAGGGGACCTTGGTAACTTGTTCTCATTTGGTGAGGTCAAACCTTACGTTGCCCACTAGACGTGGTTCAAAAGAGTCCTAAATGTTACCTATTCCAAAAAAATTTTTTTCAAATGCATCAGAGAGCTCCTTAGCAATTTCCTTTATTAAGCAAATATTCCATTCTTAATTTTTCCCTTCTGGAAGGGATTGTCATGTAAATGAGGTCCACCTATGCATACTGAGCACTTGACCAAGGGTACAAAAAATATACATGGTCCATTTTTTGTCCACAGAGCTGACAGGTACAGGACACTCTTGACTGAGACAGCATAGCGTTTCACTTAGCCTAGTTCACCCTGTGTCTTTTTGGTTTGTAGAAAGTTGATGGGGTTTTTGTTTTTTCACTTTTCTCTTTTCCCCCACTTTTATCATTTGGAATTCTTGATGTGAACCCCACAGGGGAGAACAGAGGCTCATTTGCATTCAAGCTCTGTTTTTGGCTGCATATCTTAGCTGGTTTATTTGATCATCCGCATCCCTCCTGGGATCCAGCCCGCCTTTGCTCGGCTGACGCTGGGTGAATCTGTGATATTTCTCATTCTGTGGTCCTTCGTTGATAATACAGACATGGCCTGCTTTCCCTTCAGCGAGATGGCATGCCCGGACTACCCACATGCAGATAAAGAATTAGGCGGAACTCAGCTGGGAAGATAAATCAAGCTAACCATCTCATTAGGCTTGAAAGACACAAATTAAGCTTGCATTGGAATTGACAAAGAAGCCTTCCCAAAAGACAGGCAGTACAACAAGGGGTTTAAGAAATCACCATAGCCGTTTCTCTCTGGAAATTTGCCTCAGTTGCTTGGAATAGAGGAAACAGGAGGTCTCTTTTATAAAAGGTCAACAGACAGAAATTTAGGATCAAAAAAGCAGTCTATTAGTGAGCACTTATTGAGAGTAGGTCCTGTGTGCTGAGAGCTTTACACACATTATCTCATCGAAACCTCACAATGACTTGTGAGGTAAAGTACTATGAAGATTCCTGTTGAACCCACGAGGAAACTGAGTCTCAGGGGGATTCCTTCACTTGTCTCAGGGTCCCACAGCTAGTCAAATGACAGAGCTCGGATTCACCTAGGATGCCTGGCCCCAGGGCCACAGCTTAACCTAGTGGTTCTTATCCAGGATGAACTGCCCCCCCAGATATTTGGCCATGTCTGGAGACATTTTGGGTTGTGACAACTGGGGAAGGGGGTGCCACTGGCGGCTAGTGGGTAGAGGCCTGAGGTGCTGCTAACCATCCTGCAATGCACAAGACAGCCCCACAGCAAGAATGATCCAGCCCCGCTGTCAACAGTGGCATGACTAGAAACCCTGTGTAACCACTCAACTGGACCCCAGTGATGGCTGACTGTTCCACTAGAACTATCCAACTATTGTGCTCTGTAGGCAGCGTGGTTAGGTGAATATTGCAGGGAGTGCAGTTCTCTGGCAGAAGGAACAGCCAGTGCAAAGGCTGGGAGGCGGGAGCGTGCCTGGCATGGTGAGGGACAGCAGGAAACCCAGTGTGACAGGAGAGAGACTCGGGGAGGATGAGGTGAGGGAATCAGGGAATTCTCACCATTCAGAGAAACAGACAATGACCTAAAAGCAAGGACCCTGTGTTTGCAGTTGAGGAATGCGTAGACTAACGGCCTCTGTCTTGTTCCTGCCTCCCTGTTCCGTACCCCTCCTCCCTCCTGCCTCCTCCCTGCCTGCACTCGCCCCTCTGGCTCCCTAGTGTTCGGCCACAACATGAAAAGCAGCAACGACTTCATCGGAAGGATCGTCATCGGCCAGTACTCCTCGGGCCCCTCCGAATCCAACCACTGGCGGCGGATGCTCAACACCCACCGCACGGCCGTGGAGCAGTGGCACAGCCTGAGGTCCCGGGCCGAGTGTGACCGCGTGTCTCCTGCCTCGCTGGAGGTGACCTGAGGGCTGCGGGGAAGGCAGCTTTCACCTGTGAAAAAAAAAGGAAGAAAATTTGAGACAGAAAAAATGTGTCACATACCTATTGCATCCACACCTGCGTGCACACACACACAACACACACAGACAGACACACACACACCACGCCAAATCCTCTCAGAACTGAGAGGAAGCTGACTACTGATCACAAAATGGCCGCCCTCAATGAGTGAGGCCTCAGAACTTTCTGGAAGCCCCATCCATGTGTCACAAGCTGAGTGGGCTCTGCTGTGAGACTTATTGGCAGTGCTTGCTCTTGTTGGTACCCCTGCCCCAAAATGCACTTTCAACCCTCAGGCCAGAGGAAGGGCCTCCCTCAGGGCGCCGACCTCCATCGAGACGAAATTTTCAAAGAAGTTGGCCAGTGTGTGGGAGGCCCGACCCCCACGCCCAAAACGCACACCCACTGGGTGTCTTCTGAACGGGCTGCTGTTCCCAGGGGTTCTTCAAACCTGATACCTTTCCCCAAAAGTGTAAGTACTTTGTCTTCTCTTTAGTGGACGTGATAAATAGGTTAGACCATTTGGAAAAACCAAATGGCAACAAAAAATATTCCAGTGTAGGAAACTTCCCTGGCTTAACTGAGTTTGTCCTTGTGTTAGCTTATTCCTGGGGACCCCATGTGGGTACGTATGTGGATGTTCTCGTGCGTGTGCCCTCACAGGTGAACACGTGTGTGCCTGTGTGTCCTTTTGGCGATCAAGGCGGTGGGCCGGGACCTCAACCCTGACCGCTGCCTTTTCTCTGCCTCTCTCATCAGTGAGATTTCACTGTGTCCTCCTGTCTGTCAGGACCCCACCTTCAGTAACAGTAGCGTGTCCGTATGTCAAATAAATAGAATATAATAGAGCAAAAGTAACATTTTTTGACTGAATCATGGTGATTGTGACTCGCAGAAGACCTGCAATGGACAGTTACGTGGATTAAAACGGCCGCCACACCCAAACACACCCCCATCCAAGATGGACTCCTTCCTTGTCACACTCTGAGGATCTCTCTGTGTTTGTATGTGAACCGAAGTCATTTCTTTCGTGCTAAGGAATTCGTCTAGTTAGAATAGATCTCTCTCTGTTGGATGCTTCTGTATCTTTTCCCACAGCATATTGTCTGGCATAAAGGGGAGCTATTTAATGAAATTAAAGATTATTTATTTGTGCCATGCATTCAAGTTATCTTTTTCTTCATGCCTGTGGGGCATCGAGGGCACGAGGGTGTCTCGGTTACTGCGGCTGTGTAACAAACCATCCTGACCACTCCAAGTGCTGATATGGCGTGGAGGTCAAGAGAAAGGCAGGAGGGCTGGGTTGGGTTACGTTTCTCTGGTGAGAAAAAGATGAGGCATTTTCCCTCTCTATAAAATGGCTTCCTTACCGTGATTGTACAGAAGAGGATAAAAGCCTGAGAGAGCAAACAGAATGAGAAAAGACAGGTACATAACAGGCATTCAGGACTAGAGATGAGGTAATACCGTGATTGGACCCATGGGCTTTGGGCTAAAGAAGCCATGGTTCAAATCCTGTGCCCACCACTCCCCACCCATGTACCCTTGCACAAGCCACATAACTTCTCTGAGCCTCAGTCTCCTCGTTATCTTAGTTAGGGTACCTCAAAAGCAGACCTTGAGGCGAGGACCTGGGTGCAGATAGTTTATTTGGGAAATGACCCCAGGAAGCATAAATGGAAGAATAAGTCAGGGAAGGGAGAAACACAGATAAAGCCTGCGTTAATTAGCACTGTGGGCGGCTGGGGCTCAGTCATGCTGGGGACCCATGTAGAATACACTTGAGAATTATCATTATGGGGAAGCTGGAGTATTTAACTGCTGACCCATATCCCTCAGGGCCTGAGGGTTGCCCCTGGAGGCGTTAAATGTTTGGCACTCAAGGACTGTCCTGTGTGGACTGAGCAAGCTCCCAGAGCACCGAGAAATCCCCGGGGCAGAGAATGAGGTGCATGTGCTCAATCAGGTAAGCAGTCTATGTGCACGGCCCCGGGGAACTTTACTGCAGCCACAGGGAACTTAGGTGGACTGAGGGCTACAAGATGGGGCATGCCAAACACCTCATTTAGTCCTCACACAGCAACCCACAGGGAGATGTTCTTAGCTTCCTAACTTGAAAAAGGTGACTGAGGTTTAACGAGATTAATGGCGAGTAAGCAATAGAGCTAGAATGCCAGCCCAGGCCCCTCTGACTCTAGAGCCTGTTATGAGCGGAATTGTGTCCCCCTCAAAAAAGATATGTTGGTGTCCTAACCCCTAGTACTGCAGAATGTGACCTTATTTGGAGACAGGGTCTTTACAGAGGTGATCAAGAGGAAGTGAGGTCATCAGGGTGGGCTCTAATCCAACATGACTGATGTCCTTATAAAAAGGGGAAATTAGGACACAGAGACAGATACGCACAGAGGGAAAACTGTGCAGAGACACAGGGAGAAGACAGCCGTCCACAAGCCAAGCAGAGAGGTCTGGAACAGATCCTTCCCTCACAGCCCTCAGCAGGAACCAACTCTGCCGACACCTTGATTTTGGACTTCTGGCCTCCAGAACTGTGGACAATGAATTTCTGTTGTTTAAGCCTCCCAGTCTCTGGCACTTAGTTACAGCAGCCCCAGGAAACGAATACAGAGCTGGTGTGGCTAACCGCTCTGCTGGGCTGTCACATCCGAAAATAGAGTGACAGTTCTTACCCCATGGGGTTGACGTGAGGATTAGTGGCAATAATGCCTGCAAAGTCTTAACATACGGTCCTTGATGGCTAGTCCCACTAGGCACCCGTCAGGCAGTGTTTGCTGGTTGACCAGAGGGACCAGTAGGAGGGCAGATGTCAGAGCCGTCCACGTCTCCAAGGATAGAGTTTGTCAGGAGACAAGGGAAATGTGTTCAAAGGTGAAGGAATGACTTGGTTTCTATAGAAACCTGGGCCCAAGGTGCCCTATTGTGGCCCCCCATGTGTTTTACTTAGCGTCCTCCTTCTCAGCTAGGAGGTGGGAAAGGAGATGCATGGGCCACCTACACACCCGAGTTCAAAGGAAGGAGGTGGGGCAGGAGGGGTGCTGTGAAGTTTTAAAGCCACGTCTATTTTCCCAGGGCCAATCCTTGAGTCCTCTCACCCCTTGGGTCTCCAGAACCCCTCGGGATTCCAGTCCACCCCCTGGGACTTGACAGAAGCTACAACCTCTGGCCAGCCTTGCTCAGATATGATGGGTCCCAGGGCACCAGGAACGGCTATTTGGGCACCGATATTTCACTCCCAGAAAGCTGGGAATCACTGCCAGGGAGAGGAAGAAAGATTCATTTTTTTCTTCTGGGTGGCCTGTCTTCCACTGCCAGTGGGATACCTGCCCTTTTTCATGTGCAAAAATCCATTTAAAATAACTCAAGAATGGTCACCGCTATGTAAAACCTAAAAACGTATGCCTAGAGAAAAGACTGGAAGGCATTGCCTTGAAGGTTGCCAGCGTTATCCTTTGGGAAGTTGTTTTTCTACTCAACTTTATACCTTCCTGTACAGTATTTTCGAAGGTTCCATGGTGATCTAATGGTAGCTAACATATATTGAGTGCTTTTCATGTGTCAAGCATTGTTCTAAGCATTTATATGAGGGAAGTATTAATTTGTTCCCATTTTGCAGATGAGGAACCTGAGGCTTAGGGGGATTAAATAATCAGTGTGGTCACACAGCAGCAGGTCTGGAATTTGATCACGGATGTGGCTGAATTGAAAGCCATGAAATGAACTAGCTTTTCCTATCCTTTTTATAATGGTAGCAAGGGGTAGGGGACTTTGTTTTATTGGTAAATAAATGCCATTTTTAAGAAGCTAAGAAACGAAAGGAGGTGATGAAAGAGAGAGAGAAAGAAAGAAGGAAGGAAGGAAGAAAGGGAGGGAGGGGAGAAGGAGGAAAGGGAGGGAAGGAGGAAAGGGAGGAAGAGAAGGAGGAAGGGGAGAGAGGGAGGGAGGAAATCTTCACTGAACCCCCAGGCCACCATGAGCACAGTGTGTGTGTGAGTGTGTATGGGGGGGGGGGCACCACATGATAAATACAGCTTTAAGAAGCCAGAAAATATATATTGTGTTACAAAGAGACTTCTACCTTCAAGTGACAGCAAAGATCATATTTGTTAGATGAAGAAGCTGTCTACTTTCTGGCCAGTAAACTTGAGGTCTAGGGAAGGGGTTGGCAAACTATGGCCTATGGGCCAAATCTGGCCCACTACTTGTTTTTGTAAATAAAGTCTTATTGGAACCCAACCAGGCCCATTCCTATAGTCTTTGGCAGAGTTGAACAGTTGTGACAGAGACCATGTGGCCTGCAAAGGCTAAAATATTGACTATCTGGCTCTTTACAGAAAAAGTTTAAGTTGCAGTTATGTAGGATGAATAAGTGTAGCTATCAAATGTACAGCATGATGACTATAGTTAATAACACTGTACTGAATACTAGAAATTTGCTAAGAGTAGATTTCAGGTGCTCGTCACAAAACAAAAGGTAACCATGTGAGGGCGTGATATGTTAATTAGTTTGACTATAGTATCATTTCACTATGTATATGTATACCAAATCATCATGTTGTACACCTTAAATATTATAATTCTATTAAAAAATAGAATTTAAAAAATGTTTGCTTACCCCTGTCTAGAGCAATGCTTCATAAACTTCAATGTACACACGACCTCCTGAGATTAGTCAAAAAGCAGATTTTGATTTAGTGGGTCTGGGATGGGGCCAGAGATTCTACATTTGTAATGAGCTCCTAGAGATGCCCTGCTGCTGGTCCGTGGACCACAGGGGACTGAGCATGTAACTAATACTTTGTGTGTTTCCATCCAGAGATGGGCAGGAGCTGATTTACCCAAACCTTCAGCCGTCACATATCAACACAGATCATTAGGAGGTTTATTTGCCAAATCAAAAGGTCTTCCACTTTGGAAAGGATTTCCAGTGGCCTACCTTTGACCGCCCGCTTCTCCCCACCTGGTATGGCTACATTCAGAAGATGTTTGATTACCATGACAGCAGAGGCCTCCAAAATGCGGGGCACCAGATGATGGGGAGTGGGGAGAAAATATCCAAACTTTCTTCTATGTTTATATTTTGTATCAACCTTTTAAAAAAGTCAATTGGGGAAGAGGCGTTTTATAACAGACATGATATATTAATACAGTAAGTAGTGCATGCACATCACTTATATAATACACTCATACGCCACATAACAACGTTTTGGTCAACAACCGGCTGCATATACAACAATGGTCCCTTAAGATTAGTACCATAGAGCCTAGGTGTGTAGCAGGCTGTACCATCTAGGTTTGTGTAAGTAAGTACACTCCATGATGTTCGCCCAACGACAAAATCGCCTAACGATGCATTTCTCAGAACATATCCCGGACGTTAAGCGATGCGTGACTGTAAATGTATGTCATTTATAAATAAATAAGTGTGCATGCTCTGGAGCGTGCCCCAGCACAAAGGTTTTGAGGCAGCTGGTAGGCGTGAGTGCTGCTGCAGGCTGACACTGGGCCTGGGCTGTGCTTGTAGCCCGGGTCAGGCCCTGGCATGCTTTCTGCCCCAGGGCCAGCAGGGCAATGCACGCTGTGCGGGCACAAGTTAAGTTATTCCTCACAGGCACAGCAGTGCCTGTGGGTGTTCCAGAGAGAAGACGAGTGACTGGGACACGCTGGAGTCCTCCCTGGGAATGCCAGCTGCCCAAAGTGCCAGGGCACCTGGCTGAGCGTTGCAGGAGAGGAGGGGGGAATGCAGCGGCGAGAGTGTGCGGGGGACGCCAGGAAAAGGTTTGCTCGGGATCAGCGATAATCATGGCAAAATTTCCTGTCATTTATTGAACACCTACCACTTGCCAGCATCTATGCTAAGTATTATAAACAAATT